GCTGCCCATAAATCATCAATACCTAATGTAACTATCTTTCTTTTTGGAAATTTTTTTCTTATTAGAGCATGAATTTCTTTAGCTTCAATTATTTGATCTTTTTTATTTAATTCCTTTTTTATTATTGGTTTAATTTCCTTTTTAATTATTTTACTTTTATTTGTTTTACAAATTGAACATTTAGTAGCAATTCTAAACAAACCATTCTTCATTTCAACAATTTCTGGATTAATATTTTTAGTTTTCTTCTTACATTTATGACACTGAATAAGTTCTTCCATTTAGATATAAACATTTTATATATAAATGGATATATGTTATAAATGTCGTAATTTTAATAACTTTACAATTACTAAAAATTATATAGGATGTAATATATGTAAAAAAATTATTTTTGAAAAAAAGATTAATAAACGAAAAAATAAAAACAAACATCTTATAAATATTTTAAGAGAATTTAATCATTTTCAACCATATCGCACACAACAATTAATCAATGAAATCTATACGTTATGTATTTTAGACAATAGTTTTGAAATAACACCTAAAAATATAAAATTATTCTTAAAACAAAGAAATTATACAAACTGGATATTTTACTATCAATTCTTAAACAAAATATTCAATATTGATTTTGAATTAAATTTTGAAGATAAAAAAAATATTACAGTAATTTTTAATGCATATTTTAGTTTTACAAAAAGAAATATATCATTTAAAAAACTATTACCAATGATTTTTAAACTTTTAGAATTGAATTTTTATATAAAACCAGAATTTGATGATATGTTTTTAAAATTCTTAAAACATCTATCAACTTTAAATGATCCATGCATAATAAATTAACATAATGGTTTTTCTGATAACATAAGTGATACATCAGATATTATTTAAAAAAATAGAATTTTAAATATCACACAACAGTTCTAACAAACTGTTGTGTGATATTTAAAATTCTTTTCATATATTTCAATTATTAACTGTTTAAAATTTCTATAATTATTTTTTGTAATAAATGGATCTATTAGAAGAGATTAATAATATTGGAGAATGTAAATTCAAAGAATATAAACCAATAAAAAGTTTAGAATTGAATACAAAATATAAAATAGAAAAATTTGAAAAAGTTAAAGATAAATATGGACCAACAATTATTGTTGAATTAGAAAAATGTAAAGTTCATTTACCTCATAGATTTATTAATATATTTGATGAAAAAACAATTAAAGAATTAAATAAAAAAGATTTAAACTTAATTATTACTGAAATTAAAACATTCAAAGATAAAGAAACTGTTTTAGTTAAATTTGTATAAAAACTACTCATTAAATTTAAAAATTTTACTTGTTTTTAAAAACATTTCAGTTTGTAGTCAATTTTATGTAAAATATAGACATATTCATGAAAATTTCATCAAAATTATATACTTTTTCTAGAAAAATATGAATATGTTAGAAATTGACCTAAAAGGGTAAAAAATATAGCATATTGTATAAAAAAATAGGAAAATTCATTTAATTTTTGAGTGGCTCCTTTTTTGGCCCAGAAGTGACATGAATATATCTACTTAGATTTATATATATATGTGTCCGTGAACACGATAACTTGAGTAATTTTTATCCGATTTTGATGAAATTTGGTTTGAAGGTGTAAGGCGGGATAAACTTGAATGAGTTCGCGATCCAGCATGATCGGACCATGGGAACAGGGTTTTATGGGGGGTTTTATGAGGTAAAAATTGGTTTTTTCACTTTTGACCCTCAAAACACAAAATTTCCCAATTTTTCTCTAAACCTTCTTAAAGAGCTTAAAAAAACAAACAATTCAGTATATCAAAGTGTTTTTGTACGGTTATTGGTTACGGAGAAAACTAAAAAATTGTAAATTTAAAATTCCCATGTTATTCTTATGGAGAATATTGTAAAATGTTGTAGTTTGCTTGTTTATGGATATCTTTTGTTCAAACTTGGCAAATATATTCATTTTCTACTAAGCAATAATTATTTTACTTAAAACACAAACTTTATCAGTTTCCTTGTAGCAGCAAACCTAGGTACTTGTTAAACATAATGTTATTTAAATAGCTCGATTGAATATCAATTCAGCCAAATGGAAATTCGCTTAGACGGCAGGTTTGCTGCGGCGGGGGTATTTTTATGTTATACTGGACTGTAGAGAGGATTAAATTATACAATTAAAACCTCTATTACAGGTAATAACCTTTAATATTATGTGAAAACCCTACTATTATGGGATCTGAACCTGTCATATAAAACAACATTTTAAGTCCATAGAGTCTAAAATGTTTCAGAGCATGAAAATAATACACAAAATACAGAAATTCCAACACATGAATTTCTGAATTTCTAAATTTCTAAAATTATCACAACGATCCACAAACATAGATAGCGGAAGTGTCCCTTATAGGCTATTTCAACTGTAATTAGTGGTATTGTCCAAGTTTCAAATCACCACATTCGGCATAATGCGAAAACTTGGGTGATACTGTACTGCCTATGGCGTTGCTATAAGACATTTGTGGTAGTCAAATTGTTGTAGTAAGGAGTTTTGTAGTAAGAAAAAAGAAGTATAAATCATAATGTTTTGCGGTTATATTAATTGAGAATGGATCACAGGAATGGATTAATTATTTTTACCAATAATAATTATTTTTACCAATAATAATTAACAAGCACTAATGTTTATTTTTTACGCATAATAAGTTTTTACCAGTACTTTTTTGGCTCTATTTATAAGTAGTTTTCCTGTATGAATATCAAACGCTGGTATTCCAGTTGGCTCTTAAGACACGTCAGTTTATAATCAAGTTATATAAGTTACTTAGACAATGTACAAGAGTTTGCACTTTCTGGTAACTGGTTTCTCGGTTCGTTCTTATGATGTTAGTTATTCCGATCATACACCTGAAACAAGGTAATGTTATAAGACTTGCGTAATTGTTCTAAAACCTAATAAAGGATCTTCCCAGGAATATTCGTACCACTGGGATGGAGTAGAGTATTACTGTGTAATACCCTCGTTTTTAGTTGATTATAGATAGTTTAAACATCTTTACGTATTTTTAAAATTGTAAATTGTAACTAATTAACGTGGCCTTTTACAACTGATTTAGGTTATTTAACATTAAAGGTAAGCGCTTCGTATAACCTAACCCTGAATATTCCTATTATCCTTTTTCACTATAGTAAATTTGGTGCCTATTTTGTTAGAAATGCTCAAGAAACCTTAAATATTGATAGTTTTTTTCATACAAACACTGTGTATTTGTGTATTATTTCAAACAAACTCCAAATAAATATTTACAATATCTAAGTAAACCTGAACAATATATCTCAATACTCATAACTAGGGCTATATACCGTTGGTATATTGTTTCTTACAAAATACCTTACATAATAAATTAGCTAAAATACCTGATAGATACTAATACCAAAGAAGAAAGATCCATATCTTCCATTGACAGCGTCCAGCACTGAGCTCGGAGTCATAGTGTTCTGTATATTTTTATTTTTGTTTTTATTTTCAGGAGGCAACTTTGATAAATCCTTAATCAGCAAATATGCTGTTACTTTTGTATTATTTCATTTATGCAAGGTTTCATTGTGATTTTCTATAGTTCTAATGGTCCTAGATGGCTAAAGTAAAAAAATAAAGGAACCGATTTATGCCTTACCTTGCTTTATGCTTTACCTTGGCCGTATTTTTAGTTTTGAGTTCGACATGCGAATATATTTTGTTATGACTGTTCACTTTCAGTCCTATCATTTAGGCTCTTTCCCTTTGTTTCGTGAATTAATCCTTTAACTTTTTTTCTGGCCTGGCTACAATCACCAGTTCAACTGCACAAAATGGCAATATTTAATTTAATTACTCAAAAGTTTCCGATTATTTTCTGACTGAGATAACTGATAACGTATTTAATTATTTTTATTTTCAAACTAGATATTTTTTGCAATATAAACTATTTACCATCAGAGGTCCTCGCCACTGTCCAAGGAAAGGGGAGTCGTTATGTTTGAAGTCTCTTCTTCAAGTTTCTTCCTCCTTGTCTGAGTGATTTTTGTTTTGTTTGTTGTAGGTTTTGTGTAGTTGTGTGTAAGGCTATGTAAGTTCTTCCATTTTGTAAGGTGTGTTATATGAATTAAGGGATGGTATAATATGGTTGGTCAAGTAGCTACTGCTTTAATTTACTGTTGTTGTTTAAGGATACGAGAGAAGTAGGTTGGAAGTAGGTAAAAAAAAATGCGACCCTGTACGTAGTGGAGTGTTACTGGACTTTTGTAGACGGTGTTGCGGTAAGTCTATGTCGGATCGATGCCAGGTAAAATGAGTATGTTGATTTTGGCGGAGAAGTGGTGAGGAGTTTTTTACTAGAATAACTGTTTCGAGGATACAGGTTGAGACTATGGTGAGAATATGGTGTTTTGAAAATATGACTTGCAGTGTTCCAATGGGTCATCCAGTCTCAGTCTTTGATCTCAATGCCTCCTTCTGTAAGCGAGAATTTTGTTGACGTTCGTTTAGGCTACTGTTAAATGGGTGTGGAACAACGAAAAAAATTCCCCTTTTTTGGAAAAAAAATTTATTTTTATTTTAAATAGCTCATTGATAGGAGAATAATCAAGTTACTTGCACTTTAACTGATATGTTTCAAAGTTGCCAACATCGGTAAAAGAATTGTAAAAATGTAAATTAAATTTCCCAACAAATAAGAAATTAAAGTATTATAGCCAAGAACAAACATTTTCGTTGTTCAGTGATTACTACAGCTTACTTTTTAAGAATCAGGTAAATTGTTTCGCCTTTTTTTATAATTAAAGTTAAAATAAAAAATGTTGCGTGTGAAAATAAAAATGTGAAATGTAATAAAATTCACTAGGATCACGTGGTAACCAATACTGTGGCAAACTGTATTGAGTGTGACGTAACTTGCATTCCACATTTGCAGATGTTTAGACTAATTACAGTAAATTATACCTATAGGTTTTTAGTTGAGTTGTGAACTTGATATGGATTACTGTGAAACATGAAACTACTATTACAGCTTGCATTGGTTACAGGTAAACTACATACTTTATTCATATTTTTTACGATACTCAATTAAAAATTGTATTTAGACGACACTTCAAGCACTAAATATGCAGTAGGTAAAGTTGTTAGTAGTATTGCCCTCCTAAGGGTTACCACATTTTTCTATGTTTAATTAGATTTTAAAGATTTATTAGATGTTTTAGATGGATAAGAATAACCAAATGTTTGAATGATGTTTTTTATATGAAAAGTGTTTAAAGTAAATTTATAGCATACATTTACTAAAATTACAGGTCATGATTTATTCAGTATATTTCAATAACCATCTTTTCGTGCTAGGACAAAACACATATTTTACCTTGTTAAGAAAGCATTATGATTCAACCGCACGTAAAAAATTCATTATAAATCCCATTTTGAAACATAAAGCTTTATCTTACACAAACAAATCTCATCGTTTAAATAATTTTAATCTTTTTTAGGAACTGTTATTCTGGTTGAGGGTGATAATGATTGGGAAATTCCTGACCATCAAGTGAACAAGCTAACTGCTGCAATAAGAAATCCTGTTGATAAACTTATGAATTTTGATTGGAAAAATAGAGCGCAAGAAATAAACAAGGTCACGTCAGCAATAAGGGAGCAAGTAACGAATCTTAAGGATGTGGATTGGGCGTCCCCTAGACAACAGATAACAAAGATGGCCACTGCGATAAGACAGCCTTTGAAGACATTCAATGAACTCATCTTTGAAGAAGTACGAACAGCTGATATCAGACTGCTACGGTGAGTTAAAGCGGCCCACACACTAGCGCGCATGTGCCTTGCGTGGCTCGTGGTGAGGTGACTGCGAGCGGTTCGAGGCACATGTGCGATTCAATTGGTAACCACACACTAAAGACACATGCGCGCGCACCACCGTCTTTGACGATGCAAATAGTGGGCTATAACAGCAAATTCAACAGTTATATTTAAATCATTCTAATAAACTCCTTTGTATCGTCACTACGTATTATGGTTTTTGGGTTTTTGGGAAATAAGGTAGGCTATTAAGAAAATGAGGGTTGTATTATTTAATATAAGTGTATAAGGGTCGTATTTAGGGTATAAGGGTTATAGACTTAGATTTAATCAGTTTATTTGGTTCACATCGATATTAAGCTCTCAAAGAGTTAATTTCAGTCTTCACAAACTTATCGTCACTGCCAGGAAACACCCCCTTGCATTTTGCTATCAATAGCTCCTTAATTTATTTTCTCATTTATTTGTTTAAAAAGTTTACACTTTTCACGTCCCAAGAACACGTTTGTGATCAATAAAGCCCAATAAACTCAGACCAAAACTTTCTTATGTCATTAAAGGACATCTTAACCGCACAACAAAGAAGTCAATACTGTAATAACCAAACAACAAAGACAAATAAAATACAACAAATCAGATCAAATCAAAAATGCCTTTATTTAGTAAGTGTTCCTCAGTATATACTGCTTTACAGGATAACTCTTGTCAATTTACTTATTCTATATAAAACTAATAACAGAAAGTATTAAGTTAACACGTGGGACAGTGAATGTTTTACACACTACACTGTGCCACGCAGGCGCAGACCTTGTATTTCCCTATTTACAGTACTGTATATGCAGCTATGGTTAGTACTGCTAGCTTGCGAACATGTGCCTCGGTTTCCCACAGACTGGCGCGCATCAAAGCTCGCGCACTTATGACGATGCTCGAAGGTCCGGCGGCAGGCACCAGGCACCTCGCATGCGCGTCGCGAGCATGGGCACATTTACCCACACATTGAGGCACATGTGCGTAGAGCTGTTCGCGCGTCACATGTGCGCGCACAAGCGCCCCAGTGTGTGGGCCGCTTAAGTATGGTTGTTGACACTTAAAACTTGGTTAAAATGGTTACTAAACTTTACAAGTTAATTTGATCCACAACAAATTTTGTTTCAAAATATATCATTACTATTTTAGTTGAATAATAACATGCATTTCAAGTCCGTTGTTTTTGTTACATACAACAAATCAGGTCAATCTTACAAAACGTAATCTTCATTGGTTTGTAGGATTTGCAGATTTCCAAAAACATGTAGTTCACAAGTATCAAGCAAGGGTCAAGTATTGCATTTTCTGACAAGTGTATCAAGCTAATTATTTTAAACAGTAAAATGTTTATGTAAACTAATAAGTAAGGAAGTAATGCCGTGTCCAGTGTCCATGGTTACAAGAAGAAGTATATCAGTCATGCTCTTCATATTTTAAGTATAGAAGGATATCTTCATTGTATTATAATATTTCTTTTAAATGAATTATATATAAAAAATATTTATTTTTTCAAAAATCCTTTTTTATTTTTACATTTACATATTGCACATATTTACATATTTACATTGCACATATTTTGCTCGTTACAGTAAAATTGTCTAATATGTTTCAAGGCTCTGTTAAATTCAAAGCCTCAGGGTAACAGTTTAATAAGCCAATTTATACAACTCTCTAAAATGTGCTATACACAAAATCATAAGAAATAATATTGTTTGATTAACCGAAAGAAATAATTGGATAGAAGCAAATGTCGAAAAGTACATTTTTACGTAATAGCATTGCACAAGGTCGCAATATTTGTGTAGATTGGTGTTCGCATTGCATTATAAATATTAAACCACAGAGATGAACTTGTGTTTACAATATTTTCTTCAAAACAACAAAACAATGGGGCTTTTAAATTTTCTACTCATTAAGCATGAGTGTAAATAACAAAATAGTCATTAAACATAAAAATCAGGCAAACACACGTAGTTTTAAAAAAATAATTGTGATCTTATTGTCTTTAACTTTTTCTTTTGCAATAATAGCAGATCAATTTTCGTATGTTTTATCACATTCACTAAAAAATTATAGAAAATAGATAGACACCGTACTACCACCCTTCATAATTTACTACTCTTAAATTTAGTGCCTTTTTAGTCAACCCCTGTAGGTTGAATTATTATTTACAGCAAAGATCCAAAGAGGCCTATTGAAACTCATCCACTTTTGGAAGCAGCCAATATCGACCAGGGTCAAGCTAAATCGATATTTGAAACCGGATGGATCGACTTTTACACTTGGGTTAGTGACCTGGACACGGAGTACGAGCCTTTGTACGAAGCCGAGAAGTTATTCTTTAATGACCATTACAACAAAGGTCTGGACACTATTGTGATACTCCATGACAGGTGTGGGAATGCCAAGGATCACGAAGTTTTAAAAATAATTGAGGGTAAGTTGTACAAGTAGTGTACTGTAAAATTCATCAGTATCATGTATTAGTAACTAGAGCTATTTAACTCATTTAATAAGGTGAACCATATGTTTAGGTAAAGAAGCCTTTTTTTGTAGAATTCATTGTGAAATATTAAATTCAAAAGGAAATAAACTAATAAGACCTTATTAACGGTGAAAAATGTTGTAAATTATGTTTTGTATTTATTTAACTGTCCAAGTTGCTTGACTTACTAGTTTGAGGTAAAATAGTAAAAGACCTAGTTTGGCTAAAAGGAAACATTTAATACAAATGTTTAAACAAAGGTAAAAAAAAATAAATACAGTCTAAATGTTAAGACTTCATATTATGAGTAATGTTGTCATATTCTGTTTTCAGTCTTTCACGAACTTTTCTTTCCTTCCCCACTGAAAGGATCTATAAAATAAAAAGAAAATTATTGCCGTTAAATGTCATTCGACAAATCAATAACCAAATTAATCACTCTGTAGTCAACGAGCAAATTTATGATAGTGAAACAAGCAGAAATATTACGTGCAAGGTACATTGACGAAAATATGATTTTAAAGTTTTAAAGTTTTGGTCACGAAACAAAAATTGAAACTAAAATACCAATGAAGGAAAATATAAAGACAGGTTTCATAAATACAGTAAAGTGGATTAAAACTAAATATGTTTTCTTACAGCTTTAAAAATGAGAAACTATGACGCAAACTACAACATCTTTATTTTGGACTTCAAAAAGTTCATGTGCAAAAAAATGGCTCCTGATGGGGGTCTTTTGAAAATTGGATTCAACCCTCAAGTTACGGTAAGCATATGCGTTACATTACTTCAAAACTAATAATCTAACTTTGGTATAACAAATCTTAAGGATAATAATTGAATATTTGTTAATCAAGAATTTTGATTGAGGTTCGTTATATTGAGGATAGGTTTGGAGGAATTTTTCCAAGCCGAGGTTCTCAAACCGAATATAGTTTTTTTTCAATATAGTTTTTTGACCTCGTTAAGCCACAATTAAGTAGCATATGCTTATTGTATTGTAAAATAAAACACGGAGTATTCTTAGGGGTTAATGCTCTTAATTTTCCTCTTAATACAAAAAGTACAAAATTGCAAAATATTATTAATATTGTGCAATCATGGTATTTAAAGTAATTTACCTTGGATCAGTAATAGTAAGATAAATATAATAACTGAACCTTTTTGTAATTGAATCAATCAATTATTTAAGATGGGGACACTGCTTTGAGCGTATTTTGACCCAAATTTAAGTGAAGGGCCAGCGTAGGATGAGTGGTGCTATCTTGTAGTCTTGTTAGTGACTAAGGCCGACGTTTAGACAGAGCTGTCAATTAATAGTCCATATTGCCAATGGCAACTAAGGGACCTACAGTTTATAGTAGAATCCGATCCAGATTTTTCCTAGTAATTAACGAATTGGTCTAATTTTTTGGATAGAACTGTGAATAGTCGTAGGACTCACTAGTCCACACTAGTTAATTTAATCCACACCAGGGAGCATCGCATCCATAGTGCATGCCTATAAATATCCTCAATTCGTGACCTCCTTGTAGCTGGATTAAGGGACGACGCCACCGTGTCAGTCTTGTAGTATAGTAAAATGAGTATAGTATAGTAGTATAGTTGTTAACACCGCTGCCCCCTCCATCATGAATATCATTCAGTTAGTCCTCCATCACTTCCATACCGGAGGAGGACATAATGTTATAATGGCAGAACGCTGGTTGTTAGTAATTTGAATAGTAAACCAGTATTTATAAAAAGAAAGTGAAGAGAAGTCTAGTCTGCATGAACAACAGAATGTAATTAATATTGGTTTACAAAATGTAAAAAAAAAAAAAAAAAAAAAAAAAAAACAGCTGAACATATGACATTAAATGAAAAGCACAAAAAGGGAAATTAATTGTACAGAACAAAAGTTAAATATAATGAGAGGTGAGAATAGTAGTATAGTATGGTAAATTGTGGTAAATTGTAGGTTCCTTAGTTGCCATTAGCTGTATGGGCTATTAATTAACAACTGTGTCTTAGGAATGTGGGCCTTAGTCACTAACAATACTACAAGATCGCGCCACTCATCCTACACTCATCTCCATTCATACTTGGCTTAAAATGCCTACTTTGTATGGTCGCCATTTCATTGAACAGTATTAACAGTATTAAAGATGTATGAATTTTCAGGTTTTGTCAGAGGCCATCGGGAATTTCCTCTATAAGGGAATTCAGCAACACAAAATTAGAGCAAAGCAAATAAACATATTGGGACTTGGAGTGTCAACTCACTTGGCGGCCTATGTGTCAAGACATGTCAAACGAGTGTCTCGACGAAAAATTAATTCCATTTTGGGTTAGTTACAAGTTTGTTAGTTAATCTACGATTAAGTAACGGTTACAAGATCCTCAAACGATCTCATATTACATAATGGTTTTGAAAATCTCTCCACTTATCGATCCTCTTAGTAAAAATTCTACTGTAATATACCATGGTGCAGAGAACCTGGTGCGCTGTTGTTCTTTTATTTGGTCATATTAATTTTAATGAGTGCAATGTTTTTGGCCACATCTTATTGGTTTAATTTGAATTTGATTTTTTACCAATATTGCTTACAGTTAAGCTTAATAACTAATAACTTTGAAACAATAGTAACAACTCACACTCACAAATATCAATAAAAACTGAATTTTTTTTGCATTACCTATCACCGGATATAAATTCTTCTTTGTTATATTAGGCTGGATGTTTCTTTTATACGTTATTCAAAATTAATTGTATCTCCATTAAAACCATTCTTGGGTATAATTTAAATATTTTTATAACAGACGAACTCTCGTGGAAGAACAGAATATTCATTATCTGTGAGAACAGTTCATTCTCTGACGGATCACCTTCGATCAATCTTTCATCTCCAAATCAAACATTATCTCACATATGGCATTTGTGGATCATCTTCTCACCACACAAATGTTTTCCTTTGAGTTATTAGTCATCTGCGTATCGATGGATTATAATTCCTTAATTATTTATTTTTATCTCCCTTTATTCTGCCTATTCTATATTTCAAAATGTCAGGATCATTAGTACATGGCCATATAAACAAACTAATTCGTATCGGCATCCTTATCTACTATAAGTTATACCATTGCTATGACTTGAGGGTGCAGAGAATTGATTATATACTTAAATATAATATACTAAATTAATAAATTTAACTGGTATATATTTTGCTATAGATTTAAAAAAAAATGTGAATACATTTATTATTTAATTTATTTTTGATGATATTTGTATCCATCAAGACCTTGTGAATCAATTCCTAAAATAAACTATAATTGTACTGCGTAATAGTAATGGATAACGTAACTATTTCACTATATAAAACATTGGAACTTATAAAATAGTTTCACCACGCCACTCTGTAAGCCACTCTGTTACTAAGTCAAACGTTTTTTATAGGTCTTGACCCTCCAGTTAGTCTAAGAAGAAGTCTTTTCAACAAAGAGTTTACAAGATACACTCACATCTACCACACATTCAAGCTGTTACCAGGACTCGACCCCACCACTGGTAGAGCAACTGCTGATTTTGTTTTTGGAGGGGCGAAACGTGGCCCACAGTGCAGGAAATCTACTATCAGTAAGTTTTGTTTCATTACAAATGTATATTAACAATATTCGTGTAGAGAGAACTTGTTTTCAAATTCATTAAATCAAGTTCAGCACTTTAAATAACCATGTACAAAGTAACAATCAAATAATGATTTGTCTTATAGGTTAACCTAAGGCTTTAATCCTTTAAGGTTCAGGTGAATATGTTGGATAGATTTTATAGGCCTACATTAAAAATCACCGTTCATTATCGTAACACAAGGTGGGGAGCGAGCTGCCGTAGTGGGTAGAGTACGGGACTTCAGTCCCAGTGGTCCCGGGTTCGATCCCCGCCAAGTCACCAATGGATTTAATCTAAGTAATAATGCCGCAACCCCTAGGTCTAGCCTGAAGTAATGCGAAAAACAATCCCAGGCTCGTGCCTAACGTCCTAGGACAAAAAAATCGTAACTTGACGTTTCGAGGTTCGTGCTCATATTTCCGGCTACATATCTGCAAATTATATTGGGAATCGTGTAATCCTGTTCATACTATTCAGCATATGGTACATGTTCACACTACATTTAGCAACTAGTTCTATAGTGGCTATTTTAGGTCAAGTATTTACACAATTCTCAATACTATCAAAGATGGAGTGTATAAAAATGAAGCTATTACATGTTTTTAATGTCAAATATACGATTTTCAGCCATTACATGTTTCAAGGGGTTTGGAGTTCAACTGTTTCTTGCTACACTTTTGTATCCTAATTTGTTTGCTGGACGTTGGTGTCCTTCATACAGCAAGTTCTCAGAGAAATTCTGTGATGGCAATGACTACACTTATGTTGCTTTCCCTCCTAATAAAAAGTAAGTGTATTAAAACATACTTTCCACTTTCAATGAGAACAATGAGAGTAGACAAATACCGTAAACAGCTTGTAATGAGAGGGATTAGGTTAAATAGCCATTCTTATTTGGCTTCAATAAAAAATATAGAGATCTTAGGATAAAACCATGGCAGGTTACTGAATACCTTAGCTAATGATTTGTCCTCGTTGCAGATAGAAGTAGCAGTGTTTTATTAATTGTCTAGAGATAACTTTATTGAAGTGTATTTAATTTAACATACCAATTAAAACAATTTAATTTAAGACCAATATGTCTTACCCGGTGATTTACATATTTTAGTTAAGAGTGACAGTAGAAGCTTTAGTAAAATAGATTATAAGCTAACAATGAATCATACTAATAGTTTTCATAACATCTCCCTATATGTGTTAAAATCGTATAGATGTCCAGGTAGAACAAATTACATAAATTAATTAAAATGTCCGTTTCATTTCTATCAAATGCTAACTATTGTTTAGGGCTCAAGGGATTTATCACATGGATATAAGCTACGAGTTCCCATATGGCAGAGGCTTAGAAGGAATCAACGAAGAGGTATAGTATTAAGCTACAACCACTATTGCGTATCCTTATAAAGAATACACTAATAAAAGCCTTTAGTATTTAGGATGTAAATAATTAGGCAGGTTGTGTGTATGACATTGTGGATACTTGGTTCAGAATGTAGAATTCACTCAAATTAAAGACATAAAAGATGATAATTATTGCGATTCTAAACATAGTTACGAGTAAAAGCACAAAGTTTGACTAGTATAGTCAAAATGTCTTAAATAAATGTCACTAAAAAACTCCGCGTCATCGTAAAGACGTCAGACAATCTCAAAAAACCTTCATCCCGTTATACCCAATGTATAGTTATTTTAATTAACTTAAGAGTACATTTTGTTTGTTTGTGTACATCGTGATGCCAACTTAGCAGACGCCTGAACTGGTCAACGCTGAAATTTGTATTCATAGTTCATAGTTAAACTGAGAGGTACCTGAGTATTTACCAAAGACTTGCAACAATACACAACTGTTTCTTCTTCTTCTAATTACACTATAACCTAAACCTACTACGTCAATTTAGTAGTACGTCAATAGATTTACAATAGCATAGGAAAAACTAAAAGTCTTAAACCTTGTACGAGTAGAATAACTGACTTAGTAACATAGTTTGGGAACAATTTTGGAAAAATATATTTTACACTTGAATACATAGGTGATAGGTAGTTGAGAAGACATATAACATCTTTTTAGGCCCAGGACTACATTTATGAACAATAATGGCTGAGAGATACCTCGTCAAAATATACTTAAGCTGTGTAATTTCTTACTACGGCAGATATTAAGATTTCCGCCATCTTCAAGAAGAATGCAAAGGGATTCTGTGGATCAGTAATAGCGATTTTTAAGTCAGCCCTGAAATATATAAACCAAGTTTACTTTATGCTACTTTACCCCAGAGTATGCTACATATTTAAAGAGTTGTTCTAGCCATTTTCCATGTTTTAAGTATCTTTTTAGGTTCGGTTCTGCATTGAAACACAATTTTACTACTTTCTAGGAGGAGGAAGTCTCGGCAGACTCGATTGAGCTCTCAAAAATGTCAATTCCAGAGTACTACCACCACTTGGAGGTCGCTGTGTCTCATATAAGATCCGAACTCATGACTTGTATTAACGGAGTGCCTACTCGCAAGGCGGTCTCGAGATGTCTCATGACTGCTAGACCTTCCGTGCAAAAACTCGTCAAGCAAAAACTTATAAACAAAACCAGCTGCGAGCCTTACTACAAGTCTCCCACAGGGAAGAGATGTCATTACGAGACCAGAACTAACAACAAGTTTGATTTACCTTTTTGAGTCAATGTGTGAGGCCTATCTTCCTATCTTCGGGATTTACCAGTTTGTAAATGTTTCACCTTTTTATAATAATAAAACTTCTGTCACGAGGAGTAGGGTAATATTCGCCACTATTAGGACACATTACAAAACTCATTGAATGTTTTAAGCTATGCCTTTGATTTAAAGTTAATATTTACTTTGGTTGTACAGTTATGGTTGTTGAAATTTGAAACAGTTGACAAAACAATAACAAATCTTTGTTTTTGTTTACGTCAGCAAAATTCAAAGATAGTAAACACTACTTTCGCATAGTAAAATGCTATGCGTTTTTTAATGTTTTAACTGTAATAAAGGAATATACAATATCTGTCTTAATTTAGAAAGTTAGTCTTTGTAGTGTAGCGAAAATTAACATTACAAACACGAGTGAAAGTGGGTCCATACATATTCTTGACCATATTTAAAGTGCTCGATGGATCTCGCACTTCAAACATGGTCTCATACATCTTTCTACTCTTGCTATAAAATATACTGTTATAAGTTTTTAAATTACTAGAGACGTATTGTAATGCATTGAAATTGAAGGTAATTCAAACCTTCAATGTAAGATCTTTCATAATTAAAACGTACTATAACTTTAAAATATTGGTTTCGTGATCTCAAACAAAATGTTTAAATATTTGTTATTTTTGCATTATGATTGGACTACTTTGTCAGCATTATCTACCATCCAAACTATTTGTATTGACAATTAGATCAGTGTTATGTGTAAAAATGCTCGTGTTTCCTCGTACTATTTTATTTACATTAAAACCTATTCAAAGAGCCATTTAAATTGTGTTTCGGAATTCCTTCATCATATTATGTATTTTTAAAGTAATCTTTAAAAAGGGAAGGGGGTTTGTTTCTTACAATCTTTTTATGGTGCGATTGAAAAAATACATACTGATTATCATTTTGCTTACATATCAGAACGATCAATTAACTGAGAAGAGTTTGGTTTTTTATGTCAACAACTGATTGAAACCTCGTTATTAATTTATTGTTGGCAAAAAACAAGTTCTAACCATTCAAAATTGTTTAAAGTTGGTTGATTTGGCAATGTTTCTACTATATACATTTGGTAGAATATTTTCTTCCCAAAACCTTTTGTTGGAATATTTATTTAAGTGTGGGCTACAGTGAGTCGCCCACTAAGCCAGATTTGCCGTGGGAGAAGGACAACGTAATCCTTCGAGAAAACAACAGACTTTGTTTTCTCAAGGGCTGGGAAATTCCTTACTTTTAAAAGATTCCTATGAAGAGACTCTGTAAAATAACAATAACAGTTAAAGTAGCAGTATACTTAGAATTGAGCTTAATACGTAAGAGAGTATTCGGAATACAGGATAAAAACTATCAAAGACGATCCGTCATGGAGACCAGCTGCAGCACTGAGTCTTACTTCAAACTGAATGTTTCATTCGTAATTTAACTTTAATATAATTAATCCGCTAACAAGAATGACTAGGTAAAAAGGAGTAGGTTTGTAGAGTGATTATTGATGTAAGTTATTTAATATATTAAGAAAGATGTACATTATAATATTTTCTAAATGTCTAGATTATATATAAAAGACAATGTTTTACTTTTTAGGCTTACCTCCGTAGTCCAAAGTTTCATCCATCTTTAATTATTTTAAGCTGACATTTTTCGTTGCAATGCAACATCATCGGAGCTTGCAACACGTTGAAAACACCAAAACTGTTTACAAACCAAACAGTACACGAGACATTTACAACACACACCTTCGATTACTAACACATATCTTAGGACCCATTGGTGTGTTAGTAGTAGATTATTTGTTTACATTCGTTTCTTGCAACAATTCAAAGGAATATATCTATTTCCCCATAAAATAACTCTACTTAAAAATGATTTAAGATATTTTAAAATGTCCTGATTTATAATTTACTATTGCGTGTAAATGAAAATAGCCCGTCACAAACAAAGTGAAATTAACAATAGCTAAAATGATTTTCTTTATTAATTTTTAGCCCCTTTACACGAATTCACGAATATTTTAAGCCACTGAGGAAGACAGACACCACAGTACAATTGCATTGATTATTTCAATATTAACAATATACTGAAATCACGAACCGTTGTTACGTTGGGCTCGATAGCGCCAACCAAACAAGAGTCTTCAAACTTCTTTTTACTTTGGAAAGTAATTTCGAAGATAATATTTTTCGTTGACTGTTATTTCAGAGTTTCTTTTTATTTAACATTTATCTTTACATTCCTACAACTCAAGTTTACAAAAGTATGGCACTATGAAAACATGTTAATTGTTTTTTGTGGTCACGGGTTAGGTTCAAGCGTAAACAACACGATATTGTTATATAGCAGTATATTTTTTAAACTAAAAAGTACATGAATGCATTATTATGGCCAAACCCAACTCAAAAAGAACAACGATAAATGAAATAATGGAAGGATAAAACTGGAGTTAAAACAACCGTGGCAAAATTAACAATGATTTTATAAATCTTTAAATTAAAGCATTATCACAAATTGATAGAATTAAACAATAATAAACATTGTGAAATGTTAATAGAGGTGTTAGCCTATCATTGATTGTTTGACATTTCTGTTACAGAGATGCTGAAGCGCAAACGGTTACACTATAAATACTCATTGTTAAGAAACCCTCAAAAAATAAATAACATTATCTCAAAAATCAAAATGTAATTGACTGCAACTAGTTAAATCTCAGTGATACAAGTTTTTATTAGTTTTTTTTTCTAAACAAGTAATTTAACTTGTTGAATTCTAGTTATTACGCGATTTGTATCAAATTGTTGTTTGAGTGTAATATAAATTGCAAATGGTAAACCCAAAATAATGTAAATAATAACCATACAATTCCAATTGTTTACTGTTTTTTTTTAAATAACAAGTTATGTTTACTTAACATTCGAAAAATGTACAGATTTTATTCATATATTTCTGTTGCAACATTATTTTAACATCTTTGTTATTACGTAAATTACATAAGCGTATATTTATTTTGTGGGTAAAGTATATATATTTTCCGGCTCCCACTATCTCAGACTTAGCTTGACTGTAAGCCGGTTTACTGGTGGTCACAAATGGAACGCACATCCTTTTTAACTCTGTGTTATTTATCACTTATTTATTCAGCAAAGAGGCGGTTTAAAACTTCTTATATCCCATAAAATAATTGTTAAATACATTCAAACTATACCCCAGGAAATGCAAAGCTCTATGAGGAGATAAAAACCCATTTTTACTTTTTCTTGATGGTACATTTAGTTCTGATTGACTAATATTTAGGAGCGCAATGTAATGTTTGGTTCGATACCAAGTAATTTTTTAAGTTATAAATATAGTTTTTTTTAGTTACGAATAAAAAGTATAACCGACCTTAATTTGTTTACTGATGGTCTCGAAATAGTTTTCACTTAGTGATCTAAAAGTTATTTTTTAGAATAAGAGATGCATTTTAATGACTCGCCCATATGCCTAGTACAATATTTTTTAAATTATAATTAAGATCTAAGCTAAGCATACGGCTCAAAAACTTTTTGTTTATAACCAATTTTGCGACTAATGAAATAGACCCAGCCATAATAAGATCCATTACAGAAATTTTACCTCAGAAATGCATTATTTTATTTGTATTTTTTTTATCAACGTAGGTTTGTTGTGTTTGATATTGATAATATGCAGTGAAATATTGTTGTACTTTGTTTTTAATTGCTTTATTGTAGGTCATTTATAAAAAAATATGTTCTCGATGGTTTAAATTTTTTTTAATAACTAGATTAAGTCAAACAAAAACCAAGATGAGCAAATCTCTTTCACGCGCTTATTTGTTTGATTACTTTACTTATTAAATACATTGCAAAAATAGTCGTGAATGTCAACTGGTACAATACAATTAAATAAATAATTCAATATCAAAATGTCAATAAAACCACTCTCCATTGTTGTTACAGTGGGCGTAAAGGCGCCAGGCAAACAAAAGTCTTCAAACTTGTTCTAACTTTGGTGAGTCATATCGGTAAAGATATGTTTTGTTCAACTGTTTTGTCAGAGTTTTTTCGTAACGTATTACAACTTATCTTTATATTAAATCTTCACTAACTTTACTGTTCAATTTAAAAACCAGTTTTACAGATAAGACCGTAATATCTGGTTATTTTTTCACTGGTTTCCTATGACCGTAAGCTATTGATATAGTTTCCTTCAAAACATGGCCAATAAACTTTAAAGTTCTATTTTCAAGATTAATAATTACTAACAGTAAAATATTTATTATAAAATCGATGCATTAGGGGCAATGAATGGAAAAGTATAGAATGGCGAAAAAGACCATCAATGAACTATTATAATGAACTCATTTAGTTATTTTCCCTACCTAAATGCACTTAACAACATACAGGAATAGTTTTAACTATGAAATCTATTGACCAAGGCCATACAACATTGGTTGTATTGAATTTTCTCTAAGGTGAAGCTGATTTACCGATGCATTTGATCGATTATTGCATTTTTTAACTACGTCATCTAGGCCGATGTCTTGTCGTCACATAACGAAATTCATATTCGTATAAAATATTTGGTACCTAAGACTGATATTTATTAGAACAGATGATATTCAATGTTTAATAATTCTCAATATCTATACGTATCTTGGTACTTGCGAACAATGTTATTATGCGTTCAGAAATGGTACAGTTTTTTTTCATTAACCTGATTGGTGTATTATACTAACGTAATTTGTTTCACAGCATGATTTATAAAATAATTATGCAAAAGTTACTGGTATATTCTAAACCTTCAAAGTCTTGGAAACATTAGAATTTTAGTAGTTCTTAAGATTTTACACCAAAACTAAGCAAATCTAGTTTTATTCTGTTTTTGTACTCTTTAAATCAGTTATAGTAATCTTTTATTATGATTTTATGACTTTATCAATAGTTATTTGGATGATTTAAACTGATAGTTTGTATGCTTTAAACAACAATACACTTTAACCATTGAAGTTTTCAAGGTTATAAAACACAGTGACAGAATTTTTAAACTTAAAAACAGTATAAAAA